GAGAGAGAGAGAGAGAGAGAGAGAGAGAGAGAGAGAGAGAGAGAGAGAGAGAGAGAGAGAGAGAGAGAGAGAGAGAGAGAGAGAGACTCCCAACATGAAAAAGACAATAAGGAGAGCTCTCTACAAGACATATTACACTGTGAAGCCTGGAGATAAGACGAAAACATAAAATAAAAAAACGGTCCCCGATTCAGGGAGGAAGAGGGAGCGCACTTCTTTTTCTATTTTCCGCTTCAGCGGATTAATCTTCTCTCCGGGCAGACAAGGGAAAAAAAAAAAAACACACTTCTCTCCGGGACAGACAAAAGTTTACAATGTTCGGAGCACAACATCAGGACAAAAAGAAAGAAAGAGAAATCAATCCGTTCATTCATTGAACGCAAATCGATGCGAGCACCCAGCCGGACTACTAGGAGGGGATGCTCGTATCTCCCCGCCTAGTACGAAGACAAGATTTAAATAAAGGGGGGAAGGGGGGAAGGGGGGGAGGGGGGCGGGCGGGGGGATGGCGTGGAAATTTCCATTGCATTTTGTACTGTGGCACATGAAACATGCGTTTCCAACTTTCCACCCTTCCAGTCGTTTCTTTCAACACCCCCATCCTACGTGCTTTGGTCATTTTTTAAAACCAAACAACAGAAAAGAGGACAAGAGAGAGGAACATAGTGAACCCAACTTAGTAAGCTTATGTCGCCATCATGATGATGATGATGATGATCATCATCATCATCATCATCATCATCATCACCACCATCACCACAACGCACAACTTAGAAGAGATAGCACCGATGTCCCACAAGAAGAAGAAGAAGAAGAAGAAGAACAACAACAACAACAACGAGACAACAAGGGGAGGACAAGGAGGAGGAGGAGGAGGAGGAGGAGAAGAAGAGGAGGAGGAGGAGGAGAAGGATGAGGAGAAGAAGAAGAGGAGGAGGAGGAGGAGGAGGAGAAGGAGGAGGAGGAGAAGGAGGAGGAGGAGGAGGAGAAGGAAGAATAAAAGCAGGAAGAAGAAGAAGAAGAAGAAGAAGAAGAAGAAGAAGAAGAAGAAGAAGAAGAAGTAGAAAAAGCAGCAGCAGCAATAAATACAACGTTTCAGTCTCTCCTTCCTCTTCTACCACCAGGTCTACTCCTCCTCGATCACCATCTCACAATGCTACCCACCTATCATCCAGTACTTTCACACTCACACACCAACTTCCAAGAGAAGTTCTCTCTCTCTCTCTCTCTCCCTCTCTCTCTCTCTCTCTCTCTCTCTCTCTCCCCCCCCCCCGCCCACTTGTTGCCTTTCCTGGGGCGCGTGGGTGGACTTTTCCAGGCGCTGCCCCAAAGACTGTTGCGTTGCTGGCTTTGACCTTCCCTACCGTCTTCACCCAAATACAACGCCCGGTCATTATCGCTGAATCTAGACTAAAAGCTGGCCAAATACAGCTACAATGACCGGGCGTTCTCTTCAGGTGAAGAGGTTTTCCTGCTCCATTTCCCTCTGCTCCTGTCTCAAGTTCCCCACCAGCCTCCACCAAGATCACTCTCAGCCTGATCCAACGCGCTACTATCTTCTGTCAAACACAATGCACCCTCGTCATACTGTATTGGACCCAAAAGATAGCTTGTATACATTCCCGACCAAGGTGTGATCTGTTCCAAGGAAGATGGTAGCTTCTGTTTCTTGAGAGGGAGAAGGAGGAGGGAGGGAGGGAGGGACTGAGAGAGGGAGGGAGGGAGGGAGGGGGGGAGGGAGGGAGGGAGGGAGGGAGGGAGGGAGGGAG